AGATTATGCGTAGGAAAATATTTAAAAATTAATTTTTTGAACATTGCTAATGTCGTTTTAGGTACATGATAGGCCTATGAAGAATTATGGTCTTATGGTATTAAAAACTTACATATCAGGAGCACTGAACAACTCAATCTGAGACTTGTCTATACTGTATTACCATGAATTCTAAAACATTTGAGGGGATAAATACAAGGTTTAGCTGAAGCAGCACTATTAAGCATTGCACTGAGCCTACTGGAATTTCTTTTCCTCTATCTATAATACTAGCAATGGTTACATATGCCACTAAGAACAGAAAATAAAACAGACAAAAGGAAAAAGATCTGAGTTGAAAAAAGTGGAACTCTGAAAGGCTACCCAGACCACAAGCACAACACACTTTCATAATCTTCATCGGAGTTTCCATTACACTGCTTTTCTTTTCTTCTTTTTGAGAAGTCATGTGGGAGGAAGTCTTGTTGTGTGACCCAGGCCTCTTGTCAAGAAGTCTTATCCTGTGATCCAGGCCAGCCACAGGCTCCAGGTGACATACCAGCCTCAGCACTGTGAGTGGCTGGGACCACAGGTGTGGCTTCTGTGCCCAGGTCAGACCTTTCTGATTTAAAGGAACYCCATCAGGTGGGAGAGATAAGCATGCCGACCAACCACCGGCAAGCATACTAAGAGAGAGCTCTGGCTGGGGTAGTATTGAAAATGCTAAGCCAGGACCTTCTGTGTTTATACTAAGGAAGAACTCCACACTGCAGTGGAGCTGTTACAATGTCCACTTTATGCTTTGAAAATTGCCCTTGCTGCTCTATCTCTGTGACTTATTTTTTTTTCTTATTTTTTTTTTGTGACTTATTTTTAAAAGACATGTTTCTCTTCCYCTCTCCCCACTCCTCCCTAATCTCTCCTCTGCCCCAATCTCAGGGAAAACAGTATTACCTTTCTTCCCCATTTTAGGCAGATTTATCAGTCCTTGAGTACCCACCCASGATAGGAAAGAAGTAATCCAGACTTTGGGTGGTACCAGAAGATCTCAGAAATGACTATCTCCCAAATTAACAAGTGAATCACAACTCAACACAGAAGTCCGTGACTTTAGTAGCCTTTGCATCACCTCTTTAAAACCCACTGTTAGCCAGTGGCACAGCCTCTTATCCCAGTGGCTTGGGAGGCAGAGGCAGGAGGATCCCAAATTCAAAGACAGCCTCAGCAAAAGTGAGGTGCTAAGCAACTCAATGAGACCCTGTCTCTAAATAAAATACAAAGTAGGTCTGAGGATGTGGCTCAGTGGTTGGGTGCTCCTAAATTCAATCCCTGGTACCAAACAACAACAACAACAACAACAAAAAACAAACCCCTGTTCTTGCTGATGGGGAGATTCACAGCCTCACAGGCTCTGGGACAGGAGTCCCCTGTGTTTCTCCTTTGTTGCAAAGCAATTAAACTCCTTTTTCCTTTTTCTCAAAACTGTGTCCTCGTTATTGGATTGGCATTGGGGATAAGAACCGAGCTTTTGGTAACATAACAGAACATGCCAAAGACATACCTTCAGCATTTGTACTGAGTTCTGTTGAATTGTCTTCTTCAGTTGCATATGGATTGTTCCCAACTATTGGCACCAGGCAATCGGTATAGAAGTAGCCAATTTTACGCATGTTCAATGTAGAAATGATCAGATCTATTGCAAGCTGTCCAACATTTCCAACAGATACTGCGGGCTGAAAAAAAGACATTTTCAATAAGTCATCAAAATTAGGAGCACTTCAAACAGTTTAGACAGAAGATAATAATTGACTGTTTGGAATGCATATATGTTCAGGTGCATAGCTAGATACTGACTCTTTCATGTAGTAAAACAAACTAAGTTCCTGCTCTTGTGGAACTTCCATTCCAGTGAGGGAGTAGTTTACCTGTAATAAAAATAAAGAGCAAAATATACAGTGTTAGTTCTACGAAGAAAAATACAGTGAATGAATGGGAGCAGGTTTATATGTAGTTGGATGCAATTTTAAATAGGGAGATCCAGGTTTCACTTTAAGTGATGAGTCACTATATTAAAGTGGTAAAGGACAGTCATAGAGAAACCTGGGAAAACAATACTCAAGGAAGCTGGAAAGCAAGTATAAAGTCTGTAAAGGATCTATAAAAGAAATCTCTTGGGCTTCTTTCCATTTGCTTTGTTGGTCTCCTTTCTATCCACTTCCTGAGGTTGGCATGATCTTTTAACATTAAACACACACACTCTCCCGTAATTTCAAACGGCCAACCTACATCACATGACAAGTTTTTGGGCTCCAGAGTCTACTGGACATATCTACATGGTTATATCACAGGCAATTCCCATTCCACTTGTATTAAACCAACTTTTGCTCAAACGTGTTCTCATATTTGTATTTTACAAAAGAACATCTTCTCTTGACTACCTTATCTAGGAAATGTCTTCCTTTCCCCTCATCARCTTAATATATGACAATTTTTATTGATTTATCTTCAAAATACCTCTTTAATGAGCTCCTCCTTTGCATTCTTCCAGCAATTGCCTTTTTTTGTTCTTCAATGTTCTTACCTAAGTTTTCTCCTACTTCTCATAGCTGTTGTCCACCAAACTCCTGGTTATCTACTACATATAATTCCCTTCTCAAAGATTCTGCTACTTTGGTTGGACTCATCTGTATCACCCTTCTTTTCCTCACTACTGGACTGTTCCCATGAGCATGTACACATGTTGTAAATCTTCCATTCTAAAAAGTCTTCCCTTATTCCATATACTCCTCTCCCTCCCACCTCATTTCTGTTGCCTTTCATAGCCCAAATTCTCCAAGAGTTGTCTACTACACATAAGTGGGAACTTTATCTTTGAATGAATGCATACATATGTTGCTGAAAGCTTGTTCTTTGTCCCAGATGCCAATCCAATAACAAAGACCTGGTTTTGAGAAAAGGGAAAAAGAAGGTTTATTGCTTTGATAGCTTAGGAAGAGAGATCAGGAAGGAGAAGATCAGGGAAAAGGTTAGGGAAAAGAAGATAAGGGAGGAGAAGGTCAAGAAGGAGAAGGTTAGGGAAAAGATCAAGGAGGAGGGTCAAGAAGAAGATTGGAAAAAAGAACAAAACACATAAATTTCAAAGCCCCAAGGGATCTAGTCAAAGCATCAAGTGAGCCCATTACACATATACCTACAATCTCTACCTACTCTTCTCCCTACTGAACTCACCCCAGGACAGCTTCCCTCTTCGCCACCCCATCCATAACTATTTGCCCAGTGACCCCTCTAACTTACATGTTGGTACCAAATCCTTAACATGTTTGATATTTTATGAATAAAAGAAAGCTATTGTCTATACATATATTTCTTCTAAGGAATTAATCATAGGTGTGATAAAAATGCATATATAACAATATTTACTTTTGCATTATTTCTGAGAGTAAAAATTTTGAAATAATGCCTAAATGTCCATCAGTATGAAATGATTAAATAAAGTGAAGTGCTGGCAAAAGGAAAAAAAAAAAAAAAGCTATTGTCACTTCAAGCATTACACCACTCCAAAAAGTGCATTTTTCAGTGCTACATTCTGGGTTCACAGGGACCCCAGCTTATTCTCTCTCAATGTTTCATTCCAAACTCTTTGCAGTCCTCAATGCTTATGCACCTCTGCTTTTAGCATCCATCTTTCAGAAATGCACCCTCTCCCATCTTTTGGACACAAATTTCTCTACATGGCTATTTAAATTTTCTTTTTAGTTGTCAATGTATATTTATTATATTTACTTATATATGGTGCTGACAATCGAACCCAGTGCGTCACTCAAGCTAGGCAAGCGCTCTACCAATGAGCCTCAGCCCCAACCCCTCCACACAGCTTGACTTTTAGATTGAACTCATCCACTGAGCCCATCCGCAGCTCCTTTTTGTATTTTATTTAGAGACAGGGTCTCACTGAGTTGCTTAGTGTCTCCCTGTTGCTGAGGCTGGCTCTGAACTCGAGATCCTTCTGCCTCTGCCTCSCCAGCCGCTGAGCGTGCGCTACACAGATTTTCTTAACAAGCTCCTGTGTCCCTCTCCCTGTCGATCACCTAAGGCCTTTCTCTCTCGTTGTCAAGCTCTGATCCCAGTATTAACTGGTGAGGATTTCCAGCTAGCTAGTAAGCTCTTTGAGGACAGCATCTAACCTCAGCAGCACCAAGTAGAACGTTCACCGAAACAAATCGGAAGACGGCAGCTCTAGGAGGAACAGAACTTGGCACTGGCGCCTGACAGCTCTCTTGTTACCTAACAGTGGTTCTAACGATGAGGTGCTGGCCGAGGAGCGACCTAAAGCACGTGTTTTGAGGACACACTGCAGGGATGCGCGGCCCGCCGTGCGCGGTCCCCGACTGTCGCTCGCAGGCCTGTTACGTTTCGCGGGCAACAAAGACGGCCCGCGAACGTCGGTTCCCAGCGCGGACAAAGGTTGGCTCCCGACCGCCGCCCCGCGCGACCGACGCCCTCCGCCACCACCTCCCCAATATTATTTCGGTCTCAACCACTGAAATAAAGACGCGCGCCTTCGCCCTGCCGCGGCCCCGCGGGGCCCCCGGGTGGGGTCGCTCCGGGGGGCCGCAATCCGCGCGCGCTCACACTTACCATCAGCAGGGTGAAGCCCGTCAGGTCAGGCACCCAATCCCCGCAGGGAACAAACATGACCGCGGCGGGCGGGCAGGGAGGCTGCGCGCGGGCGCGAGAGAACGAGGCCTCAGGAAGGCGCGGGGCCTCGCAGATCCCTGGGGTCCCGCGCGACGCGACCGGGGTCCTTCGAGTCCCCTGGCGCCGGGTCCTGAGAGGCTGTCCAGCCTCCTGCCGGCGCGCGGCGCGCGGCGCGCAAAGAGGCGGCCGGGGGTAGACAGGCGGTGGGCCTCGCCGTAGGAGCCCTGGCCAGGCGCGGCGGCGGGGGCGGGCCCTGAGGGAGGGCGGGCGGCGAGTGAGGATCAGGCAGCGCGGCGGGCAGCCCCGGGTCCGGCGCCGTTTGAAAACAGTTGGCGGCGGCGCCGCGACGACCGGGTTCCCGCCCAGCCCCGGGTCAGCCAGACGCGGCGTCGCGCCCCTCGGGACCCGCGCGAGGCGGGCGGCTGAGCCGCTTGGTGCTGCAGCCGCCACTGTTGCTCCGGGGCCCGCCGCCAGCATGTCGCTGCCTCCGGAGAAGGCGTCGGAGCTGAAGCAGCTCATCCACCAGCAGCTGAGCAAGGTGCCGGGGCAGCGGGGCGGCCGGGTGGGTCCAGWCGGGCGACCCCGGGGCGCCCTCCGACCGCGGCGCGGACCAGCCTGGGGCAGGTCCTCTCGCATTTCCCGCGCCTCCCCAGCTCCGGAGGATGACCTGCGTGGCCCTGCGCTCGCGGGCCGAGCCTGAGCCGGCGTCTGGTGACCCTCGCCCGGTCCTGGGTCGGCCCTGGGTCGGCCCTGGCGCTGCGTCTCCGACCGGGCGGCGGGCACGGGTGCCTTGCCGGCCTGCGGGCCTCCGGGTGCGGGGCTGCGGGGCGAACCCGGGCCGCCGGCCCTCAGGAGGTGGCGGAGGGGAACGGGGGGAACTGCAGCGACACTTTCTGGAAGGCGTGCTCCAAGAGTTCTTTCAAAAAGTCTCCTTTTCTCGTTCCGTTACGGTCAGAGCCGTACGTTTACTGATTTTGGAAGCCGCAAACCGGAGAAGCAAGTTTTAACTGCTTTGTGATGATGTGAGTTACAATTCGAATTTTCTGCGTAGATGGATGTCCATGGCAGAATAAGAGAAATCCTTGCTGAGACCATACGGGAAGAATTGGCACCGGATCAGCAACATTTGTCCACCGAAGATTTGATAAAAGCCCTTAGACGTCGAGGAATCATTGATGATGTGATGAAAGAACTTAATTTTGTTACTGTGAGTTAAATTTTAGGGGGAAAATTTGACAATATATTGATCGTGCATAACACTTCGGTCTGTATTGGGTGCCTCTCCTGATTGATTGAAGTCACTTTAAGGTCATTGTGTCTACTAATAGCCTTGTTTCAGCGTTCAGTATGGCAAATAGTATTTTATATCAGTGAAATTTGAGTTACCATATTTCTTTCTGTGCATAGCAGAATTTTGTATTCTTTTAGATCAGTAATCTGAACTACATATGCTTTCTAGGATTGTTTTATAACATTTTAGGTTAAACTATTTTAAAGAAAATACGCTTAGGAATTTTTTTAAGAAAATACTTGACTCAATAAGAGCTCTCAAATCTTTTCATACATATAGGTCAAAGCTGAGTGATAGCCTCTTGGTATATTAGTAAGTAGGCCCTCTTTTGAAAATGAGACAGTAATGAGAAATTGTGACCTCAATACCTGGGTAATATAATGTAAAAATAGAATGAACTTCATAATACATCAGGGAATTAAGTCTGTTCATACTGCATCCTTTTTTGGTTTTTGAGGCTTATGGAACCCATTTATTAAAAAATTGACCTAGTAAAAGYTACTGCTATATGAATGTCATATTAAAACCAGTTCATGGTGGAATCTTAAGCCAATGTTATATAAGGTTTAGAGAAAGTTTAACCTTGTGTAAGGTGTTAAGGATTTGTTTTGTCACATTCTGTGAATGGTAAGACAATTTAGACTTCAGGAATAACCAGTTTTGCTGTCTTTTATGCAGATATTTATAGGTATTTATTTTCATTATGCTAGGAAAATAAAGTGGTTTATTTTATTTTATTTTTGAAAGGTTATTATCCTAATTGCTTTTGATTTCAGTGCTTGGCATGTTCTTACCTAACTATGATTTTTGTTTTCTGATTTGTTTTGATTTCTTTTCTCTGTCTTTTTAGGAAAATGTTGATCAAGAACTTCCTTCCTCTCCAAAACAACCTGTTGGTTTTGATAAACAATCAACTTTAAAAAAAAGTATGTACATGTTTTTTAACATTACTATAGTGTTTGATAGAAAAAAATCAGTATTTATTTTTCAAAGTGAAGCCCTTAGGGCTGGGGGTGTAGCTCAGTGGTAGAATGCCTGCCTCCCATGTGTGAGGCACTGGGTTTGATCCTCAGCACCACATAAAAATAAATAAAGATATTGTGTCCATTTACAACTAAAAAAAATATTTAAAAAGACTGAGACACAGAAAAGCAAATAAAAATTTTTTTTAAAAAATGAAACACTTAAAATTTGATGGTTAGTTTGTCTAAACTTGGATTTCATTTTGGATGTAGTGTATCATTTCATATGTAGCMCATGAAACATGAGGACATGAAACAAGAAACTCTAGTTTCTTGTTTTAGTATGATTTTATAAAAACAGTACAACTTTGCTTTTCTAACAGTAATATAATTATTTGACAAAACACTTGCTAAGTTGATAACTGTCTGAGTTGGTTTATGGGGTAGAGGAATGTTGTATAAGCAACTAAAAAAGCAAGGTACAGAAAACMTTGGCTGTTAACTCCTTTCCAGCTGGGAGAAAGTAGCCAGGATATAAACTCAGAAAAGGATATATATTATGTATCTTTTCGTCCCAGAGTGCAAATGATTTGCTCCATAGTAAATTTGTTGCTCTCTTTTTTAGTGGTTTTATTTCATTCAAGTTATTGTTTCCTAATGTCTTGATCACAGTCTAAGTTATTTGGCAGTTTCCTCATATATATTGCTACACTTTACAGCTAATATTGATCCAACACGGAGGTATCTTTACCTTCAGGTTTTGGGTGGAAAAGCTTTCTTGGAACATCTTCAAGAACCTGAGCCTTTACCTGGACAAGTTTGTTCAACTTTTACTTTATGTTTACATTATCGGAACCAACGTTTTCGTTCTAAACCTGTTCCATGTGCCTGTGAACCGGATTTTCATGATGGCTTTCTACTTGAAGTACACAGAGAAAGCTTAGGTAAGGATGGGAAATACATTCAATTGAATAAATCTTGTCAGGTTTTATTGCAGAAAACTATAACTTTCCCTATAACTTTTTTAATTTGTTTGTTTTGTTTTTGTGCTGGGGATTGAACCCAGAAGGGTTCAACCACTGAGCCACATCCCTAGGCCTTTTTAAATATTTTTACTTAGAGACAGGGTCTCATTAAATTACTGAGGCTGGCTTTAAATTTGTGATCCTCCTGCTTCAGCCTCCTGAGATGCTGGGATTACAGGCATGTGCCACCACACTTAGTAAGGAGAGATTTTTTTTAACGGATGAATCTCTCTTTTCTCATATTGCTGTTTTTTGTTGTTTTTTGAGGGGAAGGTGGGTAACAGGGATCATCTCCAGCCCTTTTTTATGTATTATTTGAGACAGGGTGTTTCCAAGTTGCTTAGGGCCCCATTAAATTGCAGACACTGGCTTTGAACTTGGGACCCTCCTGCCTCAGTCTCCTGAGCTGCTGGGATTACATGTGTGTGCCACCATGCATGGCCTATAAAGGCATTTTATACACTTTGGTTGTTTTTATTTATAAAATAAGCAAAGTTATAGAATTATGCCTTCATAAGTTTAGATTTTAAGATTGATAATGCATTCATAAATTGTTTTTCCTTATAAACAGTGTTACTTAATAAGGCAGTTAATGAGATAAATTGCTAGATCCAAGGCTTTACATCTTTGAGTTTTCTGTAGATAATACAGTGGTATATCAGGAGGTTGAAGAGCAAGGTAGCTCAGCACAGTGGTGCATGCCTGTAATCACAGACTYGAAGGCTGATGTGAAAGATTGCAGATTCAAAGCCAGTCTCAGCAACTTGTCTAGATCCTGTCTCAAAATAATAAAGGGACTGGGGATATAGCTCATTGGTAAAGTGCYCCTGGGTTCAATCTCCAGTACCCCCCAAAAAAGAAAGAGTAAGATTCTTGCTGTGAAGATAATTTAAAAAAATTTTTTTTGAAGAAGGGTAAAGGTAGTTTGAAAATGATGTTATTTAATGGCATTTTATCATATTAGCATATAAATAAAGAACAAATTCATTGTTTATGGGTCAGAAAGAACTATGTATTAAGTAACTAAATGACTCATCACAATTCTGCCATCCTCTCAGAAGTTAGTGATAAAACTATTTTTATTCCCAGCCTTTGGCATGCTTTCCAAGACATACAAAATTATTCTATTTGGTTTTGTATTAGCTTAGTATAATTTTCAGTAAGTTTTCTTTTATATTGGCCTAAATGAATATGTAACTTGATTTTTTTTTTTTCTGATTTATGTTGCTAGGTGATGGAACTAGAATGGCTGATTCAACAACAATGTTATCAATAAGTGATCCAATTCATATGGTGCTAATCAAAACTGACATATTTGGTGAGACCACCTTAGTAGCATCCTATTTTCTGGAATGGCGATCAGTTTTGGGTTCAGAAAATGGAGTAACCAGTCTGACTGTGGAGCTTATGGGTGTAGGTATGAGTGTCACTCTTACCTTTTTATAGGCACTGGTAAAAACATTTATACCTCTATTTTAAAGATGCCTTCCTTATAAGCCAAGAGGGAAGGAAGCCTGTAGAGTTTCTTTTTTTCTTTTTTCTTTTTCTTTTTTTTTTTTTTTTTTGTACTCGGGATTGAACACTAAGCTACATCCCCAGCCCTTTTTAAAATATTTTTTTTTTATTTAGAGACAAAAGTCTCACTGAGTTGCCTAGGGCCTTGTGAAGTTGCTGAGGAGGCGGTCTCCAACTTGGAATCCTCTTGCTTTAGCCTCTTGAGCCACTGGGATTACAGATGTGTGCCACTATGTTGGCTTAAATGGAATTTCATTAGCATTCCAGTTGTGATCTTTGGGAACTTTTTGACAAACATTACCAGTATAGCACTGATGAGGCTGGCCTTGTCTTAAGAAAAATGTTTTTCTGGAAAATGTATRTAGAAATTTTGAAGGTTTTTAATTTATTTTCATTTGCTTAAATGAGACTATAAAGAAGCATAAGATTTTTGGCATGCACAAATATACATGTGCAAAAAGCTTATTCCTCTTTAGCATATCCTGGAATACAGTGCATCTAGTCAGTACCAGTGACTCCTAAAGAATATGGAGTAGGGCTGGGATTGTGGCTCAGTGGTAGAGTGCTGGCCTAGCACGTGTGAGGCCCTGGGTTCGATTCTCAGCACCACATGAAAAATTAATTAATTAATGAAGGTATTGTGTCCAACTACAACTAAAATATAAWTATAAAAAAATATATATGGAGTAGATTTTTTTCTCAGCATTTTACAGTAGACTAGTGAGACTTGGAAGGAGGTAATAACTACTTGCTCAGTATAAATATTAATGAATAGTTRTTGTCTTTCAGGGCAAAGTTCATGCCTGTCTTATTTATCATTGTTTCCTTGGAATCTTGCATATTGCCTGTTATGTAGCATTATTTTTTGCTAATAAAATGGAAAACCCAAAAATCTAAAACCTACCAATGTTTTTTGCCTGACGTAGAATGGAATTTCATATTGAGACTTCTTCACAAGAGTTAAACCTGACCAGTGGACAGCATAGCTTTAGTAATGATTTGGATTTTAAACCAGACCTAGAATATATATTTCATTAAATAAAAAGTAGAAGAAAAAAATGTGTTTTTTACGTAGGAAATTTATTAAAATAAAAATTCCCAGTTATTTGTCTAACATGATAATCATAGTAATGACCTGGAAACAAGCATATTGATTTCCTGAAGCAATATTAAATACTTTGGTTATGAAGTACATTTATTTTCTAATTCTTTAAATCTAGACATGGATTGAAAATTTGTATTCCTATGTGATGTGATAATAAGGATAAATGAGAATTTCTCTATGACACACAAAAAATTCTTTTTTTTTTTTTTCATGGAGACAGAATGAGGTATTGCATTGACTTTGTATTTAATGTAAGTCTGGTTGGTAAAATGCATTTAATAAAGATAAAAAATTAAGAATCCTGAATTCATTAGATCAGAAAAATCTTAAAATTTATTAGAAAGCCAAGAAAATAGTTGATCTCCTTATAACTAGATAAATGTTTTGTTAAACATTTTTGTGTTAAAAAAAAGGTTCATTTTTTTATGTGCATATTAATATTTATTCCATTTAAGTGGAAAACACCAAGCTAAGTTATTTTGGTTACACTTTGATTGACTATACATAGTATTGAAACTTGTGAAGTTCTAAATCTTTATTTATCTTTATAGGCACAGAATCAAAAGTTTCTGTGGGAATTTTAAATATAAAACTTGAAATGTATCCACCACTCAATCAGACATTATCTCAAGAAGTGGTGAACACACAGGTAATTCCTAGTTTCTCCTGGTATATTTGTTTTTATTCTGTTGATCCTAGAAAGTACTCCCTTTTTGGAAATTGCCATGCGTTTTTAAATTAGTACTCAAAGGTTAATAAAAGAATTGAGGAAGAAAATGACAAAGATTGCTTTCTAGGGAAATCTGTGGTGTATTTTGGGAAATGTAAYGGATGTTTGAAACAACATAAAGGAGTAGCCTCAGTGGGTGTGGTTTGTTCATTTTGTAGACTTTTATTGAGAGATTGGTGTCATGMAGTTTCTGCTCTGTACTCAGCACTTGCTTCTGGAAAGTTTGAAAAGGCTTTCTTCCCTAACTCTGCTGTCAGATCTCTTTTATAAAATGCAATGCTGACTTTGTAAATCTCTTATTGAGTAGGTGAATGGCATGACACAATCTTTGTTTTATTTTGCTTTCAATTTTTTATTAGGCTCTTAAAACCCTTTCAGATCTCAGATCTCTGCTGCTTTCTTCTTAGGTCTTGAGATTATTAGGTTTCTCCACCCCTTCAGGGGGGTGTGCCACCCTGTCTTTACTTTGCAGGTTATGATCATCTGCCGCCTTTTGGCATGATTCTCCTGGACTGCATACTTTGGTCCTGAAATTGTGCTTTTACTCAGTCATGCCCCTTTGTATTGTTCTATTTATAGTGTTCTGGTGACTTAGTTTTATTTATCTTTTGAGGGGGGAGATTTTTACTTTTACTATTATTTTTTGCAATGCTGGGGATCAAACCTAAAGCCTTGTACATGCAAGGCAAGTGCTCTRTCACTGAGCTTTTGGGGGTTTGTTATGTTTTTGCTTTCTTAGTTTTACAGTGCTAACCCCTCTCCCCCAGGTAAACAGTGTCCTACTCTGCTTTCCTGAAACAGTTTCTTAGTTCCGAACTCTCATCTCCCTTTAATCTGGCATCTGAATTATATGTTACATAACACTTAGTGGGAACTGACCTGATGTTACTTGTAAATGAATAGAAATGTGTACATATACATACATTATGTATGAGTTTTAATTATGTTTTTTGTAAATTTATATGATACATAAGGAAGTAAACATTTGGGTTTTACTTTTTTCTTTTGTTTATTATGTTGACAAATAAATGGGTTTGGTGTTTGCATGCGTTTGCCTACATGCACGCATACTAGGAATCGAACCTCAGGCCCTGGCAGGTTGTGTAGACTTCTACCACTGAGCTATTATATCCCTAGTCCCAACAGCTCTAGTGTTTAACATTGTTTTATAAACATTTCTCATGTTTTTGCTCTCATGTTTGHTTTTTAATGACTGTAGCCTAAGTTTATTTTCTTATTTCATATATTTTTTCTAACTTTCCAGACTTCTCTTTAAGATTATATTAAAATTTTCAAGTCAGAAATATTTATTGGGCTGGGGATGTGGCTCAAGCGGTAGCGCGCTCGCCTGGCATGCGTGCGGCCCGGGTTCGATCCTCAGCACCACATACCAACAAAGATGTTGTGTCTGCCGAAAACTAAAAAATAAATAAATAAATATTTTAAAAAAAAAGAAAGAAATATTTATTGATCTTAAACAGATATTAAAAAGGGCCAGACACTTTTCTAGATGCTGAAGATGCAGCAGTACACATGGCAGACAGCTTGTTTTTGGAGCCTAGATTCTGGTGAGAAGACAAACAGTAAAAATGAGTCCATAAACAAAGTACCGGATAGTAGAAGGTGTTAGGTGGAAAAGTTTCATGGGGTGAAGTGTGCAGTAGAGTGGATACTAGGAGTCTGATTTAGGTCAAGTGATTAAGAGAGGGAAAAAGGTCCAGATGGCAAGAGCAGCATACCAGGCCAGAACATTCCAGGCAGGGGGAACAGTAGCTTAAAGCAGAAGTCCCTGAACAGAATCAAGGGCCCCGTGTGGATGGGGCAAGAGAAGAAAATGAGGTGGATACCAGAGTTTGGAAGCCCATGCAAGTACTCTAGAGTGTGTTAGAAAATTACTGAAGTGTTTTAAACAAGGAAGTGACAATATGATTTATTGTTTACAATTTTCTGTCTTGGAAGAAAAACAGATCACTTGACTTTGTCGTGGAGACCAAATAATATGGCTAGTCATAGAAACAAGGAAGTATGAAGGCTCTTGCAAATATGGTAATGGGAAATAGATATGTATTGTGGTAATCAAGGAGATGGAGTAGAAATTGAAAAAAATATATTTTTCTTTTAAATTTTAAGCTTGCTTTGGAACGTCAGAAAACTGCAGAGAAAGAGCGATTATTTCTTGTGTATGCCAAGCAGTGGTGGAGAGAATATTTGCAAATTCGACCCTCACACAACTCACGGCTGGTGAAAATTTTTGCACAGGTTTGTAAATTATATCAGAAAAGTTTCTTTTCTACATATGGTAGTTAGTATTGTATATGTAAGTTTATTTAATTTGCTTTTATAAAATGCAATGCTGACTTTGTAAATCTCTTTTATTGAGTAGGTGAGTGGCATAACACAATCTTTGTTTTATTTTGCTTTCAATTTTTTTTAGGCTCTTAAAACCCTTTCTGACTTTATTTAATTTTTAAGTAGATGAAAATCTGTTTTATTTAACCTGGAATAAACCCATTCATGATACTTAGAAGTTAGATAATTCACCACTTGGACTCTGTGATTTCTGTAAGTGCAGCTCTTGTGTGCAGAACAGAGGCTCTGGACATAAGTTATTTTTGTTAGGGTTTTTTAAAAGTCACATGCAATAATTCTGTATAATCAAGATCTCTAACTTAATGACTACTGATGTTCAGCTGCAGAATTCCAACAACAAATGCTTCTTGGCTTACAATTAGGATTACATCCTGAATAAAATAAAGCCATCAGAAGTTGAAAATTTAATACATCTAACATACTGTGYATCACAGCTTAGCAACACAGTAGAGTATCAGTTGTTTACCCTATGATCATGTGGCTGATGGAGAGCAGTGGCTGCCTAGCATGGAGAGATGGTATCATACTGCATATTCCTAGTCTGGAGCTCAAAATTGAAAATGAAGTATGGTTTCTACTGAATGAACATAGCTTCACACTATCTAAAGTGGAAAAATTGTTAAGTCAAATCATCCTAAACCCGGGACTATCTGTATAGATCTCTGCCTCTGTTTTCCCAAATCTTAAGCCCATTCCCCCACCCCCTCTCTTTTTTTAAGTTTTTATTAGTTATTGATGGACCTATATTTATTTATTTATTTGTTTATATGTGGTGCTGAGAATCGAACCCAGTGCCTCACACTTGCTAGGCAAGTGCTCTACCACTGAGCCACAACCCCAACGCCCATTTTCTTTTTAACAAGTCAGTATAAAGCATATAGTGAGATCCTGTACTTTTTGTAACTTTTGAGGAGACATTCAAATCTTTCACGTATGTTTAACCTTATATAAATGCTTCTGTATAATTATAATGTAATATTGCTTTAAATTATATTTCTTAGATCCTAGCTTTACCCTGTTCTCCCTAGATGTTGGGACAAATGAAAAATGGTTTTGTTTCTAGATGGGAAGCTTGGGAATGAGAGTCCCTGGTTATCTAGTGGTGGGAATGAGGGAAATAGCTTCAGACTTTACAGAGGCATTTTTTCAATGCTTTCAGTGACTGGGTAGGCAAGGTAGTGCTGAATCAGCACAAGGGCATGGAGAAACCACAATCAAAATATAACTTATCTTCCTGTTTTCTAGTCAAATTGCAGATTTTCWCTGATGTGGAATCTGAGACCAGAGAGGACTCAAGAAGTGGATCAGATAAATGACATATCACAGAGAAAGGAGCAATGGGCTAGGGATGTGGCTCAGCAATAGTGTAGTAGTAGGTAACAGGTAGCCCTGGGATTGATCCCCAACATGGGATGGGGGCGGGGAACAAGGAACAGGAGGTTGGTGTGCAGCTAAGGAAATCAAGGGATTATGGAATTTTTTAAGATCAAATGGCAACTTGGTCTTGGCAGAGTCTATATTAATTTGCATATTGTTTTGTTTTGTTTTTATTTTTTTTACTTTTTTATTCTAATTTGTTATATATGACAGCAGAATGCATTACAATTCATATTACATATAGAGCACAATTTTTCATATCTCTGATTATACACAAAGTACATTCACACCACTCATGTACTTAGGGTAATGATGTCCATCTCAATCCATCATCTTTTTTATCCCCATGCTCCCTCCCTTCCGCTCTTTCCCCTTTGCCCTATCTCCCCTTTACCCCACTATGAATCAGCCTCCTTATATCAGAGAAAACATTTGGCATTTGGTTTTTTGGGAGTGGCTAACTTCACTTAGCTTTATATTCTCCAGCTTCATCCATTTACCTGCAAATGCCATGATTCTATTCTCTTTTAGTTGTTTTGTTGTTGTTTTTGTTTTGGTTGAACCCAGTGGCACTTAACTACTGAGCTATCACTGAATTGCATAGGGTCTTGCAAAGTTGCTGAGGCTGGCTTCAGACTTGAAATCCTCCTGCCTCAGCCTCTCAAGTGATAAGGATTATAGACATTTACCACCTACCCCACTTAAAACCATAATTTTAATCCAGAAAATTATACATGGTCTGAAAAAGAATTTGCTCCTTCCAGGCCCAAAAGGAAATAAATTTCCAGTAGTACTATGCAGTAGCACTTTCTGCAGAGATGGCAATGTTCTACATCTGCTATGGGATCTACCAGCCATGTGTTGAGAACTCAGGATGTGGCTAATGCAACTAAAACAAATTTTATTTAATTTTAGTTAATTAAAATTTAGAATAAAGTTCTGGTGTTCTATTGCATAGTAGATTGACTACAGATAACATGTACTGTAAATTTTTGAAAGCTAGAAGAAAGGATTTTGAATGTTTTCACCATAAAAATAGTAAATGAGGGCTGGGGCTATAGTTCAGTGACAGAGTGCTTGGCTTGTATGTGTGAGGCACTGGGTTCCCTCCTCAGCACCACATAAAAAAATAAATAAAGGCATGCTGTTCATCTACAACTATTAAAAAAATTTTTAAATAGTAAATGAGATATGTATAGATGTATGCAATTCTTATGTATTAAATTTTTTTAAATCAATAAATTTAAAAATGGGAAAAACTTTCTTATTGGACAGTGCAGATTGAGAAGTTGAAATATTGAAATTTTCAAGACTTAAATAATATGGGGATATATAGGTAATATATTAAATATTATTATAATGAAACATGATGATATATCTTGTATTCCAAGATGCTACTCTTGATGGCAGATAAATTTATTGTTTAGGTACTCAACCTTTTCTTGTCATTAGTGCCTATGTAAGAATAGGACTTCCCACACATAACTAGGTTCATTACCTTCATTCTAACCAAAGATCTATGGACCCATCAGGGTCATTATATACTTGGTAATCCTTTGTTCTTTTCCTCCCTAACTAGCTGAGCAACAATTCATTTAATGACACCTTTTGAAATTTTTAATGCAAGAAATTTTAAAATAAGTTATAGAAATTGAAACTTAGGGCTAATAATTTTTTAAGAAAATATTATAATTGCTTGAGGATATCCTTTTAATGTTCTGCTTGTGATTTCAGAACTTAATATTATACTACACAAATTAGTAATGCTGAATTAATGTAAAAGAAAATCAAATAATAGTTTTCCACTTTCCTCCAAATTAGAATCATGATTTTGTTTTAGAATTTGATGGCAATCAGAGTTGAGAACTATCAAAACGAGTGAAAATAATAAGTTGTTTTACTCTGGATTGTGTAACAATTTATGGTCAGATGTGTATAATAATCAAATATAAGTGATAAGTAAGGTTTTTTTCCTTGCTGAGTGAGGATTATTCTGGAGAAGTGATGTCTTTGTGATGTAGAGAGATCAGCAGTTCTGATGGTTGGAGCAGGTAGTGTTCCTCTTGGCTGAGTTGGGTTTTGTCTCCTGAGGATCCCTGCCTTGGTCAAGGGTGTGGGGTCTCTAGACTCTGACCAGCTGTTGGCCCTTTCTCATGCTGCAGCATAACTGTGAAGTTAAGGAATGTGTGTGCTTGGTGATGTATTCTCCCGTCAGTCTCCAGAGACTGCTACACACAATAATAGTTATTAACCACAAGTATTAAGAGCTAGAATGAAAGACATTTTCCTGAAATGTTTTTTAAAATTGTGCTTTCGGTTGACTTGGTTAACAAATGGCTATGTTTCTGGATCTCTGAAGTGGGATGCTATAATAAAAACAAATTAGAAATAAGCTCGGATCATTCTTATATCAGCCCATCAGAATTGTTGTTTGTTAGGATACATATTAAATTGTTTGGTAATATAAATAGTACTTTAGCTTAGACCCTCTATCCCTCCTGCACCTGTCTGCCCACTGTTTTTTCAGATCAATTCTTACTGTTATAGGCTTTGCTTTTGATGGTGGTGGGAGGTACTAAGGGTTAAACCCCAGGGGCACTTAACCTCTGAGCCACATCCCCACCCTGATTTACTCTTCATTTTGAGATGGGGGTCTTGCTAAGATGCTCAGCACCTTACTAAGTTGCTGAGGCTGGCTTTGAACTTGTGGTCATCCTGCCTCAACCTCCTGAGCCCATGGGATTATAGGTGTGTTCCACCACTCCTGGCTGTCTTAGGCTTTAGAGTCGGACAGTTTAGGGTTTGAATCCTGACTCTGTTGTGTGATAGTTGTAGCTTCTGTTTCTTTAAATATGAAATGAAAATAATATAGATGAGAATTAAAAGAGATTATATGAATAGTGCTTAGCAGCATAGTGCTGGATTTATGATTAACAGTAAATGACATCCAGAGTTATTTTAGCTCATACTCATGTATTAAAAAAAAACAAAAGATGTTAAAATTGGGGGATGACAATCTGTCATTATAGATGATGTTTTCATCCTTTTCTTCCAGGATGAAAATGGAATAAATAGACCTGTCTGTTCCTACATTAAACCACTTCGAGCTGGCCGGCTTCTGGATACTCCACGGCAGGCAGCAAGATTCGTTAATGTCCTTGGTTATGAACGAGCTCCTGTTATTGGAGGAGGAGGTAAACAGGAACAATGGTGCACTCTGCTGGCCTTTCTCTGTAGAAACAAGGTATCATACACACATAGTAGAATTAAGTAGCAAGTACATCATAGTTATTCTGGACTTACAGTACACTTGTAAAAGAATGACCTTAGAAAAAAATGTACGTACTGTCAGTTTGAATAAGAAAATCTTGTTCTCACCATTTGCCATAAACATTTTTTAAGTGTCTCAATACGTAAAGACACTTAACGTCTTTGTTTTCTCACAGTTTCTTATGTAACTTATGGTGATTTCTACAAGGTAGGGACATGTTAAGTACTAGTCAGAAACCAAGCTGAATTTGAGAAAGCACTGTGACCAGAACTATGGTCTGCTGGTACAGTTCTTGGGTTAACTTTTGCTCGGGTAATATTGCATATTTTAAAAGGGAAAATGGCAGTACAAAATGAATATGGGAAAAAAAAAACTTGGATTACATGGTAGTTTTGTTTAGTTTTAAACACAGTATTAAAGACATGTAGAATAAATTTGTTAATGTTAAATTTTTTTAATGACTCAATTTTGATAAATTAAATATATCATGGGATGTTCCCTAGTCGTCTGATTTCTAGAAATGATGAACAAATAACACTATAACATTTAATTGTATTGAAACAAGGAAAAAGAGAACTTGCCTTCATCTATTATTGTTTGGAAATAATTTTGCTTATTCTGAGGTTGTATAAATAGTATGGTAGTCTAAGTAAAGCTCAAACTATGGAAGAAACATTTGGATGATGTTGATATGACAGAGAAATTATGTGTGGTTTTTCATTTGTAGTTGTTTTGTAGTCTGGGATTGAAGCAGGAGGTGCTTAGCCTTTTTAGTCTTTTTCATTTTTTGAGACAAGATCTCSCCAAATTGGTGAGGCTGGTCTCTAATTTGGGATCCTCTTGCCTCAGCCTGGCAAGTTCTTGGGATTACAGGCATGTGCCACCAGTCTTGGCTAAGACTGTGTCTTTTTTTTTTTTTTTTAAGAGAGAGGTGAGAGAGAGAGAGAATTTTTAATATTTATTATTTAGTTTTTGGCAGACACAACATCTTTGTTTGTTTGTGGTGATGAGGATCGAACCCGGGCTGCACGCATACAAGGCGAGCGCGCTACTGCTTGAGCCACATCCCCAGCCCCAAGACTGTGTCTTAAAGACAGTTAAAAAAACATTTAATTTTATTTAGCAAAAAAAGTTAGATTTGTTTCCAAGGTCTAGTTCCCAAATGTTATATATTATGGACTTTTAAAAAATTTCAAATATAATAGGAATAATATAATTTATTTATTTTAAATATTTATTTTTTAGTTATAGGTGGATACCACCATATCTTTATTTTATTTTTATGTAGTGTTGAGGATTGAACCCAGTGCCTCATGCATGGTAGGTGAGAGCTTTACCTCTGAGCCACAACCCCATCCCTTGACTGTTTTATTTTTAAAGAGAAAGTATATCTTAAAAAGGAGAAGCTTGAAAATTAGAGTAGTCTTTTACAAACAAGCCTTACAATAGTAAAGGTGAAACTTCAGAAACCCATAATTCTTTTCCAAACTTACAATTTCTTCATATTTTTGTGTTTTTTTAAAGTAGATATCACTTTTTCCACAATTATAAATTTCCATAAGTAGAAATGAAACTATCTTGCTTTATAATTTAACATTATGMTATGAACATTTTTTTCATATATTGGTATCTTTTTGTGATTTCCGACTTCTAATGGTTATTTCACATTTTCTTGAGTCAATATRTAAAATCTACCTATTTCTCCATTGTAGGAACTGTTTCTTTTGGCCAACTTGTGCTTTTAGCTTTTTGATATTATGAATAAATTTTTGCATTGATTTTTTTTTTTTTCTGGGTGTGTGTGAATTTTGTTTTTTTACCAAACCTCAGGATAGAAAGTAGTGGGTCTAAAAAATTGTGTAAAGTCAATTTACTAACTATAAAATAGTACTTGCCTAGAATGCATAAGCCCTGGGTTCCATCCCCATCACCGCAAAACAARCAATGCAGAGCCACTAATTTAAAATTTTGAGGGGAAAGGAGGCCTTCTTCATTCTAGCATTCAACTCAATAGTTATTTTCAGGGCTGGGGATGTAGCTTATTGGTAGAGCACTTGCCTAAGCCTGCCCATGGTGTCCTGGGTTCCATCTCCAGTACTACAGCAACAAAAAGTTATTTTCACTTTTGTGTGTTACCTGTAGTATTCCATACATAAATACATATCTTGACATAATGTAGTCATATTATTTTTATAGAGTTTTTCTCAGAACATATTAGATATTTTCTGTGTGCAGTCTTCATAATTTTTTAAAATTGTGAAATGTAGCAAAGAGAATTTGGAAAACAGGGAGAATGATGTATTATCTACACTAATAATAGGCATTGTTGTCATTTTTGTGTTTTCTCCCAATCAAATTTTCCTATATATTTCCTTGAAATTATATACAGATGCTACAWATCATTGGTGTGTGTTCCATTTATTTACAATTTTTGCTATATGATTTGTTAGCTTGCTTATTCGTGTCCTTTAGCTATTCATTCACRTATTAAAATCTTCCTGATTTTCTTCCTACATTGTATGAGTTCTTCATAAACTTTTGAATCTTAAGTGCTGCCTATTAAAGTGTACATCATATCTGTGAGAACTTAATTTTTTTAAATTAATTAATTTTGTGGCCCTGGGGATTCTAGCTAGGCAAGCATTGTATCACTGAGCCATTTTCCCCATTCCATGAACACTAATTATGTAAAATAATTTCCTTCCAGAATTAGTATGTCTCAATTTAATACTAGTCTAGTGATTATAATTGAAAAATTTTGATAAATTTTGATTGTAATATTGCATATAAATATCAAGTGAGGTGACAATATAAAGAAATAAGTACTTGGGCTGGGGTTGTGGCTCAGCGGTAGAGCGCTCGCCTAGCACATGAAAGCCCTGGGTTCAAACCTCAGCACCTCTTAAAAATGAATAAAATGTATTGTGTGGAACTACAACTAAAAAATATTTTTGAAAAAGGAATAAGTAGTTGATTTGAATTCATTCTATCCTGTAGGGTGACTGTGAAGATCATGCTAACCTTCTGTGCAGCCTTCTTCTTGGATATGGGTTAGAAGCCTTTGTCTGTGTAGGGACTAAGGCAAAAGCAGTACCTCATGCATGGGTTATGACTTGTGGAACTGATGGAACCATCACTTTTTGGGAGAGTTTAACTGGACACAGGTGAGTCATCTCAGTTTGTAGGGATTTTAAAATGAAGGTGTCAGTATTTTAATTAGTTGATTTTTGTGGCGTTTGGCATCAAACCCAGGACCTCAGCACATTAGGCAAGTACTGTACCTCTGAGCTACATCCCCAGCCTTAAAATTTTTTTTTAAACAGGGTTTTTGTTCATATTGATGTATTGAAGGTACATGTTTATAATTTTAGTTATTAGAATATTTTTGGGGGCTGGGGATGTGGCTCAAGCGGTAGCGCGCTCGCCTGGCATGCGTGCGGCCCGGGTTCGATCCTCAGCACCAC